GTGCGGGGGCGGGACGAGCGGAGGCGGGGCGAGCGCGCGGACGGGCGGGCGGGGGCCACACCCCCTGGCCGCAGCCCTGGGGTCGCTTTGCGACCGCAGTGCTTTTCCCACCCCTAGTTTGGGCTCCTTGGTTAAGATTCAGGAAACGAGGCGAGGGCGAAAGAGAGGGAGTGTCGGGGGACCTTTGGTTTGGGAGGTTAGGAAGAAGAAAGAGGAAACTGGGAAGGGGACGTAGGAGGGATGAAGGGGAAATACGGAAGACTAGTCACTTCTGGTCTCTGCGGACCAGACCATAACCCCCTACAGAAGGCAAGAAAACCCAGGGTGCATTTATCCAGGTGAGGAGAACAACGATGAATAAAACCTGCGGGAGTAGATCCAAGCGGTGACTCAGGTTCCCATTCCCAGGGATGTGGGTTAGCTCGAGGATGGCAGGGCTGCACCTGTGCCTTGCTTGGCCCTCGCTCTCCCTTAACCCAAGGCCCTGATCTATAATAGATTCCTGAGAACATAGATGCTCTGGCACCGAAAGGGTCTGAGAATGTGGACGTCGATAGGCTCACATGCCCACAAGGAGCTCCAGGCACTCAACTGAGCTTCCGAGGCAGAGCTGAAAGGACTCACAAAGAGTAAGGAGCTCTGTCTACTTGGAAGTCTCTACTTGCCCAGCTGCTAAACCAACCCTTGCAGCGCCCCCTGCGCTCAAAAAGGTGTGAATAGGCAGCCAGTCTCTGCTTTAGTCAAGGGCTTTGAGATCCTTCACCGAGTAAACACAGCGTTCTTTTCTGTCTTTGGACTCCCTGACCTCCTGTAAATTCCCACATGAACAAAGAACTCTGGGTGTCTGTAAATAAGGACCACCACAGTTCAGTTGTCCTCCACCTGCCTGAGCTGGAAGTCAGAAACCAGGAAAATACAAGACAAAAACTCTATTAAAATTTCAGACAAAATTCTTAAAAAATAAAAAGTCATCCTGTGAGATGATATGTACATGTGCTACAGAGACCAAGGTGGCTCCCAATTTCATCAGAGAGACTAAAATAAATCATTTGTAACCTAAATGTCACATGCCTAGTTGATGTTGTCATAACTGAAGGGTGGGGTCCACCAACAGTCGGGCACCAGCAGAAACTGAATAAGGCTATGTTGTGGGGCCTGCAAGTGGCATGGTGGTTGAAGGCGCTGGATTCCCACATGGCTGACCGTGGTTCAGGTCCAGAACCTGGCAGCTTGCTTTCTCCCTTCCCCTCTCTCTCTGTTTCTCTCTGGTCAAACTACAAAATAATAATAAAAAATGTAAATAAATAAATTTGAAAAAAAAAAAAAAAAAAGGCTATGTTGTAGGGGCCCAGCCTGGTAGTACGGTCTGTTGCAAACTAAAGTCACTTGGTTGACCACAGGTTCAGGTCCCCAGGTCAGCCTAAAAACACACCCTGCTGGTGTGTAGGTGCCCAAGATCCTGAGAAACTGGAGGGCTGGGGAAAGGGGATCAGGATGTGAAATGACCCTGTTGAGGGTGTTTTTCTATCTCTGTCTCTCACTCTCTCTCTTGTGCATCCATGCACTGCTCTCGATCATGAATAAAAGGAGTGTGCAGGAGACAGCAGGTGGCATGGCAGTTAAGGTGCTGGATTCCCACATGGCCAACTTACTGTGATTCAAGTCCCTGACCAGGTAGCTTGCTTTTTTACTTTCTCTCTCTCTCTCTCTCTCTCTGGTCAAATTAAAATAATAATAATAAATAAATAAAATTAAGTAAGTCTTTTTTAAAAATGTGCTCACTAAAAACAATTTTAAAAACAATGTATGTGGGAGGAGATAGGTGACTGATTCTAGTAACAAGGACCAATATCCATGATCAAGGCAATTTAAAAATCTTAATTCAAGGGACCTGCAGGTGATGTGGTGTTTAAAGATGCTGGACTCCCACATGACTGACTGCGGTTCAAGTCTCGGTCCTGGCGGCTTACTTTCTCATTTTTCTTCTCTTTCTCTCTCCATCTTGCTCTTACTCGGTCCCTCTCTGACCAAATTAAAAGAAAGAAAGAAAAAGTTAAAATAATTATTTTTAAAAATAATTTTAAGGGACCAGCAGTTAGCGTAATGGCTATGTCACTGAACTCCCATGTAGTTGACCATGGTTCAAGTCCTGGACCTGGTGGCTTAATCTCACCAGGCGTATGTGTGTGTGTGTGTGTGTGTGTGTGTGTGTGTGTGTGTGTATACCTAAGATCTCTAGAGGAGAATGGAAGAGAAGGAATTATGGCGTGGCCATTCCTCCTGGGGGGTGATTTCTCACTTTCTGTCTCTCTATCTCTCTCTGTCTTTCTGGCGAGCGCATGCGCCCTATAGCAAAAACCTCTCAAAAAAAAAAATCATCTTAATTCAGGCTAGTTTTTGTGGCTTCATAGTCATGTAAAGCCCTGCAGGACTCAAAGCCATGTGGCCAATTGCAGGTTTGGATCCCTGGGTCAACCTAAAGACATGCTGGGTGTGTGTGCCGGGGGTCCTGAAGAGCTAAAGAGCTAAGGTAGAGGGTCACAGCATGCCACCCTGTGAGAGGTGCTTATCTTAGTCTCTCTCACTCTCCATGTATGTTCATATATGTACATATGTTTCTCTTACATGTATGTGTACATGCTCTCTATCATGAAAGAAAAGCTTAATTCAGATTCAGACACTCATTCAACAGAGACCTACTACTTACTGTGTTCTAGTCTCATAGGATACATCAGCAATAAGATCTCTACCTTCATGGAGTTTATATCCTAGCAAACTTGAGTTCTGAATATCCTTTAAGAATATATGTATAGGGGCTGGCCCTGTAGCCTCGTGTTTAAGGGAGCCAGGTGCCACATGGCTGACCACAGTTCAACTCCTGGCCCAGGCAGCATAAAAACACATGCCTGCCCAACATCCTGACAGGATGGAGAAATGGAGGAGAGGAGAGTGCACTGTGGCCATACCCCATAGTGGTTGCTTTCTCCTCATCCCTCTGTCTCTAGGTAGTACACATGCCCTCTAGCAACTTAAAAACAACAACGGAATGTACAAAGGCCCATGGTCTGATTCTTAATGAGTTTGATGGCATAAGCTTTCTATTATTCAGAGTTCTCTAGAGTAAACACAGTGAGAAGCAATTGTCCAAGGCACCTAACTGAGACTAGGTATACTAACTATACAGTCTCTCAGTGAATAAATTCTAATCATGGTTAATAATTCCACATCTGTTTGTTGGGTTGAATTATGAAGTTGTTTTATTCAAATTAATTATTACTATTTTTTTGGGGGGGAGAGGTTTTTGCTACAGGGTGCGTGCACTCACAGGAAAGACAGAGAGAAACAGAGAGACAGAAAGCAAGAAATCACCCCCCCCCGGGGCAGGGATGGCCATGCTGCAATCCCTTCTCCTCCGTTCCCCTCTCCGGATCTTGGGCCCGCACGCACACGCGCCCGGCGTGAGTTTAAGCCACTGGGTCCAGGACTCGAACCCCAGTCAGCTACATGGGAGTTCAGCAACATAGCCATTATGCTAACTGCTGGTCCCTATTCAAATTAATTTCTTAGAGCCTGATTTCACTTTAGTGAACCAAAATAGAAGTTCCTGAATCTGCCAAACTGAGGAACCAAACAGAGCCTGGCTTCATAGCAGCCCAATCAAAATGCAACCTGTGAATTTAGCCTTGCTTCTGTCTTTAAACATCTAAATAGAAGCTTTACCTGTGATTCCATGTTTGGAGAACAGGGACAATATGATTTCT